CCGTTTAGTTCGTTGATTCGAGTTTTTAATTCGAGTTGAGATGTGATTTTATGTGAGAGCTTTTTACTGTAGCAAAAAAGTTAGATTTGATTGTTTATGAGAGCTTTTTACTGTAGCAAAACTCGAATTCTAAACTCGAATCAGCGAAATGAACGGGGCCTTAAGTTTGACTTAAATTCAAATTTGAATTTGAATTAAAATTGGACTACAGGATAAAAGATGATTTCTCTTCCTTCCCTATTTACTAGTTGGTGCCACACACAGGGTGAAACCCTAAGGGTGTGGCCGGCCACCTTATGGATAAGGGGAAGGGATTTTTTGTTCCAAAATTCAAAATTGGAGATAGGGATTTGATTCTGTTTTGAAGTTTGACTTCTACTCTTTAAATATGAGAATGATAGAAAATTGTGAACACAATTTTTGAAACATTTTTCAGCCCTAATTAGTTAGAGTGGCCGAATTTCTCATAAGCAAAAGAGAGAGAAAATAATTTTTTCTCCAAAAATTCCACATCGTGCATACGTTGGTGTTTGTGGAAATTTGAGTGTTTAAGAAACCTATTTTGTCTCACATGTGCCCACACACACGTCTACGTGGAATCAAGGAATTGACGTGGAAGACTTTGGTATTCTAAACACAAACTTGGAATAAGGACTGTTCGTGGTCAAAGAATTCAAGTTATCATCTGAGTCGGCTTCCAGGTATTTTTCCGGATTGAGTTCTTGATGTAAATTAATGCGATTAATTTATTCGTGCATAAATTAATATAATCTATAGAGTATTTCAAAAGTTTTATGAAAATTTTTGTTATACACGATCCGCCTCCCCGCCACGCTTCTGCACCCGAATTCGATTCGGGAACCAACACTTTTCCCTACCTTAATTGTGTTATATTTCCTATTTGAGGGACCTACTTCTAGTGTTTCCTCTGGAGCAGTATCTGCAGCAAACATGCTCCCTTCGAACATCTGGTGGCAATGGTCTTGAACTCATTTCGTGAACCTCATGGTTTGGCCTTTATTTCCATTTTTATTACAAATGTGAGTGAGACGGGTGATATACACTTTGTGAAGTACCATTCCAAAATAGGCAAACAGAGACATGGACAATTGTTTTGTTTACTGTTACATTGAGTGCGTCAACTAACTTTTTTATGTATATGTTGCAGTTTTCTTTAAATGGAGAAGATGGAGTGGTAGTTGGGACCCTTGATGTTAACCAATGCATAAGGCTTCCAGATGAGATAGTTGGAAAGAAGCCACAGGTATTTGATCAAATGTTAATTCATAAATCTGTGTACACACGGATCATAACTTGCATTATTATGACTATGATTCTTATTGGTAGGAATTGGAGAGACTATTAGCTGCGAAGGAGAGACTATGATCAAATGAATTGTATGTTGCTTAGGGTATTCAATAGAAATGTTGGTGCACTACTGTTATGTATGTGCTTCATGAGTTGACATATTATTCCTCCCATGTTATGGAACTATAGTTCGTTTGGTTTTAAACAAAAAAAAAAAGGAGTTCCTGTGGCAGAGGCTATAACCGTTTTTCTCCATTACTTTTTGTTACATATGTAACCTGTTTTTCTCGCTTTACAGATGATTTTTCTTGTTGTTACTTCTTTGTAGGAAAGGCCATAACCGGATGATTGTATCAAGGAAGGAGGTTGCCATTGAAAATTTATCTAGTACCTCGAATGAGATTATTTGATTTGGCGAATTTGGTCTTGCCATTGATTCTGCAATCTAACGTGTTGTTCTCTCTATTCACCCAGGAAAATGGAATCTATTAACCCAATTGTATATGAGATAGCTCATTTGAGTTATATTTTTGTTGTCTGCTTTATAGCGCCTTTCGACATCGGTATCAATGCTGGAAATTTGATTGGCTTCAATTCTGGTGGTTATAAGGCGCTAACATCAGTCATGAATGTTCAAGTTCCATTTACTGAAGCTACACTAATTGTAAGAAATTGGAATTTTGTCTAATTTATTGAAGGAATAATAATAATTGTGCTTTGGCAATTGTGATGGATGAATATCAAATTTTTTCTATTGTTGAAGACACCAAAAAGATTCAGTTGAAATCTTTCAATCGAGTGATTCTTGTTGCGTCTTGATTGTATGGCATACAAACTTCAACTCGAGAACAAGATGGTACTTATGCAATTGCTACCATGGATAAAGGAGGCATATGCTTGTATTGACACGGATGGGCAATTTGAAATATTGTACGATAAAAAGAAAAATGGTAAGAAACATTAAACGACAAAATGCTTGTTCAACGACAAATTACACTGACGACGGTTATTCTATTGTTAATTGAAAACCTTAATCACATGTCATTTTTTAGTTCATCATTTCTTCTGCAGTGTTAACTGATCCAAAAAAAAAAAACGGAGATCATGTTAAGCGACTTGACTATGATTGGATAAGTGAAAGATTACTTGTGTTCTCCGTTTAACATTTTTGTCCGAATTGCATAATAGTAGGTGCATCAAATCATTTTTTTTCTACTAATTGGCTTGTTATATAATGGAAGCCGTGGGAGACAAGTTTGATATATGCTTCGCTTGTTATATAATTTTAATTCACATTTTTTTCATATACTTCTCACTTAGCTTGTTATAATTTTGAGTTATAATTATTTGCATAATTTTTTTCTAGTACTTCATTTTTTTAATTATATGACGAATTATATTTTTTTTAAATTACACGTAACGAATTATATTTATTATATAATTTCTTAAATTACATTTATTTTGGTCATGATTCAAATTCAGAAAATAAGACAACCAAACACTGGTTCGAATCACATTTCAAGTTAGAATCAGAATCATGCATATACACATCCAAACGAAGGTTTTAATCACTCTGAATCATGATTCAAATCATGAATCATGGATTTGAATCAAATGACTCAAATCGCCCTGATTTCAATCCTTATACCAAACGGACCCGAAGAGTTCCCAACCCTTCTCGAAGGTGATGAAGAAATCACATTAATTATCAAATTAACTTACAAGTTCGGGTCATCTCCAAACGTAACAGCATTTCTTGGAGCTTATTATATGGTTTGTCAGTTTCCGGATAAGTGAATAATATATAATACCTTTAGCTCCTGTTGAGAGAGGAAGCTCGACAGTCCTTGCTGAACACATGCCGAGCACTGCTCGGGTAGTGCAGCCGAACAACGCCCCTGTGAGTTCCCAGGCATGCTTAGGATTCCCTTTTTTACGCCCCCGTGTCCCTCCCGTACAGCGACGTGGGGTCGTAAAAAAGGAAAGAGGGGGATGGGGTTTCTCTCGCCTTTGGCAAAGCGGGCCCCCAGCGGGAGGCCCGCACGACAGGCTATTAGCTCAGTGGAGCTTCCCTCCGACACAAAATCTGATGTTCGGCACTCTTACTACTCTGACAATGGACCAAGCATAATGCCTACAGGCCTGTTGCCGAGCATGGTTGCTCGGCGACCCCACACCATAATAAACAACATATACAGCAAATTGATCCCCACCGTTGAGTGAATGTTGTACGCTCCTATCGGTGTGCGACACTTGTCACAACGTCAGATGGAGCCGTACACACGTACTTGTGGGCCCCCGGTGGGTCATGGACAAAACTCAAGTCCACCAAGGGAGCTATAAATACCTTATGATCATTTATTGAGGTAAGGACAATTCTCCTACCCTACTCCTGTCACAACTCACAACATTTATTGCTCCCAATTAGTTCAGCTGACTTGAGGGTCAGAATGTGTTTGGCAGGCACCACACCGGTGTCCCCTCACTTTGAGGTTGCATCTCTTACTCAAGTGCAGGACGCTAGTCCCTGAACCCGAGCACGTGACGGAACACCAACCAGACTAAAACCAAAACAGGAGTCTGAACTCCGTGCTTCTCAATATGTAGGTGTTGAGTCCAGTTTAGACATCTTACTTTCTTGGGATTCATTTATTTCATATTGTAACTTTTTTCTATTTAGTCTTTTTTTTTTTTTTTTTGAGGAGTTATTCGTCTTAAGTTACTACACAAAAGAATTATTACAAATTATATAGTACTTGAGAAAGAAAGAGTATAAAATCTAATTTCCCAAAATCTTCGTATCAAATATGAATCTCTTAAAGTACTTAACATCCATGACTAGACAAAAAGAACGAAAAGCAAGAGATCCATGAAAGGAAGTCACAGAAAGCAAGATTTTACCACATCAACAATGTCTTTTACCAAGGGAACAGGATTGTTGTGCCTTCATGTTTAGCGGGGGCAAAAAGTTGTTGCACCTAAAAGTGCCAATATAATCATTTGTTCGTTTCACTCATTTAAATTGATAATTTGAATAGAAAAATGAGTTAAAAATTTAAATTAAAGAGTGAATTTATATAAAAACTTCCTTCATAATGAGACCCCTAAAAAAACTTAACAGTTAAACACTCTATTTTAACTGTTAAATTACTTTTTTAACGGTTATGTAAAAAAAAACTTAAATTTAAATTTTTAGGAGAGATTAAAAAAAATGCATTGTGTTTCGAAGGGTGAAACGAACAAAAAGACTATTTGAAAAGTCTGAATGAATAGTCGCACTCCCATATGAAATGTATCGTTTGGATTGCGAGGCTTCACTCTTTCTTTTCCTAGTTTTAGAATTTGGCGTATGATCGCTCGTGCCATCCAGTGAACAACAGCAAAACCTCTTCTTTTTTTTTTTTTTCAAGAGAGAGTCCAGATAAAAGCAGGTACTGATCTAAGTAAATACGCAACCAGAGGATGTATCTATTAAATAAGCAAAGCCACATTCATTCCATTCTTCGAGTCACTGATGCAATATATCTACAAAAAATAAGAGAACCACACGCATTTCTCTAGTCACTAATGCTAGTATATAACCACAGTGAATGTCATTGCATGAGGTGTTCTTTCGTGTGTCTCCTTTTTCGGTGCTGAATTAGACAAGAAAGCGATATATATACACATATACACCAACATCCAAGTATATACATGTCAAACATATTTTGATAAGCCAGAATATTAAACTTGATATAAAGTCCTCTTTTTTTGTTTTTCCGTCCAAAACATCATCACATATCACTCAAAACAGAGAACATTAAACCTAAAACAAACCATTAAAACCTAATAGCAAACCACATAGATGGATCAATATTGACAGTTCTTTCATCCTACGATAGAAAGCACGTCCTTTTCCTTGAAAATAAAAGCACACACCAGCGCTGAAGCCATCAGTAAACAGCAACATTGGCTTCACCCTGCTTGGAATCCAATGGCTCAGATTCAGCACCATTTTCTGAAAAAACCTTCACAATCTTCTCTACCGGAACCAAAGGCAGGTATGAGGAAACCTTGTACCCTTTTACGGCAGTAGAAATCACGGTTTGGTTGTACTTCTCAGTATAGTAAGCTGCAGTGGGCACGACAACATCAGCCACCTTCGGGAACAGAGGGAGCTGGTTGAGTTTGCGCCAAGCAGTAACAGCGCACTTCTCAGCCTTGGGCTCGTACTTGGCATAGAGCTCCTTAGCTGCAGGCTCGTACTTTGTGAAGACTGTTTTAGCAATCCCTGAGGCAGTGTCCTTAACGCCAGCGCGCTGAACCTCGGATGCTAGAGATCTAGCCACCTCTGGGGCTTTCTGAGCTGCTGAGAAAGCTTGGGAAGAGACTTGCTTGAGGGTTGCAGGCACATGGCGGTCCAGCTCAGTCACAGATGCATCAACCTGCAGTCGTGATCACAAGTGTAAGAAGCAAATTACTTGAATGATAGACACAGGGCAAGAAATGAAACAAAAAGTTGCATCCAATCAAAATTTGCCAACCCTGAAGTTGTTAATTACAATATTGCCTCGTTACGAGCGTAACGAGACTGGAAACAGACCAAATCAAATGCAACAAGATTACTTCCAATGCTACTTTACATATGGCAATTACCATCTAATTACAACAGGAAATTGAACTGATCAGTATGCTTGACCCTGATCTCATAGAGTAAGATCCTTAGCGTGATTAAATATGTTAAATAAACGGGAATCGGGACAATGATAAACCACAGTCTAGGCCTTAAAAAGGAGGTTAATATTTGCATGCATTTCGAAACTAGGCCTTCCCAACAATCAAGGAAACAAATATCCAAACCCAGTTTAATAAAAAGCTATAGGCCTTCATAACCCTCTTTATCTTTCGTTTTAAAGTTTTAAAGTTTTCCAAGAAAACGAATAGAAAATATGCAAATTCTTTGAAGTAACATCCTCTCTGCCCTTTCATTTACTTCTAAAAACAAAAATAAGACACAAAAACAACAAATTCCAAAAACTGAGTGTTGCCCACGAATGGATTTGCAGTTTGACAACTTTCTTTCAGGTCTAAACATCGGAATAACATAACCAATTGAAACCAGAACCAAAAATATACCCAAAAGCCTCAAAGAAACTGAAAGGTTACGAACCTTGCGGTCGATAAATTTCAGAAGCTCGATTGGGATGTCATAGACCTTCTCATAGACAGGTCCAACGACG